GTTCTTTCCTTTTCCATTAATCCTTCTTTCCTAACCCTTCTAAACTCTGAATTTTGTCCTTGGGTAAATGTTGCTCCTTTGATCACAAGTTACTAATTATTCTAAGGTATGCAGACTTCCCTAATGTTATTGTTTCCCATATAAATCTGTCTATTGTTTGGCTGACAATTGAGCAAGGGTTTGAGTTCATTTCAAGACCTGAAGGGTAGCTAAGGACCATTGTCTCAGGGGTTCCACCAGTCTCTATCCAACCCATAAGCCTGATCTTTATTATGATTTTGAGTTGTGTTCCACATTTTTTCTTCCACTCTACCCAAGACCTTCTAATGCGATCCTTTGCAAAGCAGATAGTAGTGGTAACTCTAATTCCTCTCTCAAGATTTAACTTTGGCAACACCTCCAGGATGCCTTCCTTGGCTCCTAAGGGTAGCTTAAGAGCACCCCCTGTATGTTCCCATAGCTTCTAATGCATTCTTTTCTAAGTACCAGATTCTAAAATTAACTATTAATTTATCTGTCTCCTCCAATGGATGCTGAGCTCATCAAAACAGAACCTAGCTCGTTGTAGATGCTTAGTAATATGGATTTAACTGAACCAAACCTATCTACAATACACAAATCATTACAAAGTGAGCATTAAAATGGGAAGTTCTCAGTGATTTTTGGTAACTGAATTATAGTAAGTACATACAGCTAACAACCTACTTAACAACTTCTATAGAGGGTTTCTGAGGAACAGTTTGTAGGTTTGACTGCTGACCTAGTGGTTAGCAGTCCAGTGATTATCCTAAGCACCACACCAAGACACACACACACACACATATATATATGTAAAAACATCAATATCAATGGAGAAAATATTGAAGCTGTCAAACACTTCATTTTGCTCGTATTGACCATCAAAGCACATAGAAGCAGCAGCCAAGAAATCAAAATATGTACTGCATTAGGCAAATGTGCTGCACAAGACCTCTTTAAAGTGTTCAAGAGCAAAGATGCCAGTTTGAGGACTAAGGTGCACCTGACCCAAACCATGTATTTTCAATAACCTCATACGTATATGAAAGTTGGACAATGAATAAAGATCATGAAAGAATTGATGCATTTAAGTTATGTTGTTGGAGGCGAATATTAAAAGTACCAGGAACCACTAAAAGAACAAACAAATCTGTGTTTGAAGAAGTACAGGCAGAATGATCCTCAGAAGCCAGGATGGTCAGACTTTGTCTCTTATACTTGGAACATGTGTCAGGAGGGGCCAGATCCTGGAGAAGAATTATGATGCTTGGTAAAGTGGAGGGTCAGAAAAAAAGAAGAAGACCCCCAATGAGATAGATACATAGATAAGCACAGTAGCAGCAGCAGTGAGCTCAAGCATGGCAGCAATTGTGAGGCTGGTGCAGGCCCAGGTAGGGTTTCATTCTGGTTTGCATCACGTTGCTATGAGTTGGTACCAACTCAATGGCACCTAGCAATAACAACATATATGTGTGTGTGTGTGTGTATAACATATATGTATGTGTGTGTGTGTGTATGAGTCCTGGTGTGGTGCTGAGGGCTAATGTGTCAGACTGCAGTCATTTGAACTGCAAGGTCAGTGGTTCAAGCTTACCAGCTGCTCCTTGGAAATCCTATACAGGGTCACTATTAATATTCACCTCCACCAACATAACTTAGCAACAACATATATAATGTTGTTGCTAAGTACCACTGAGTCAGTTTTGATTCATAACAACCCTGCACAGGGTTTCTGTATTTGAAATATATTCCTCAGTACCAAATGGCATCTGGTTTAAGAAACCACCCACCATTTCTAGATTTTCTTGTCCTCAATAGGACAATGTTTGACCATTTCCTGTGTTCAAATATTTGTGTATGTAAAATAGAGAAAGATATCAAACTGGGATTATGAATTTGGAGTGACAGGCAAGCCTAAATACTCTCTAAATATTATATTGCAAAAGGATTTAGTTGGAAAACTGGGCATATGTGATGACACAGTCAGTTGGGAGGGATAAGGAAGTATGTTCACAGGATGACCAGATAACAAAAACTTCCCAGTTTTACTTGATCCCTTTCAGAAATCTCCATTAGCCACAGGAATTTTTATGGATAATTCACTCTAATGCCACTTACCAATATCCCATCTAGGTTTTACTAATATCTGATTTCCCTGGAAAACACACACAAAGTCCAGGAAATATTTGCTCCCCAAAATAAAGGTAGTTAAGATTGGATTTTAATGTAAGCAATTTGAAAATTGAATGAAAGCAAACTTCTCCAAATTTTAAGTATATGTGATAGTGTGACCACTGAATTTTTCTGTTTTAACAGATTAAACTTTTACTAGAAATGACAGGCACTGATTTATTTATTCTTACTGTGCTTTAGGTGAAAGTTTGAGGAGCAAATTAGTTTCCCATTTAACAGTTTGTGCATAGAAACCCTTTATTTTTTAAAAAAAGGTGTTATCAAAATACTAAAGCTATTGCTTGTTCCTCAACAAATTGCTGTTCTATTAAAATGAAATCATATCATATCCTTTCTCTAATAAACGGTTTATTTCATAGCCCCTGATAATAACCTACCAAAAAAATTAAATTACCAACAGTCATGATTGTCTTTTCCAAAATTACTGGAACAAATGACTGAAGACTAGAGTTGATCTTTTCTAATTAAGGTATAAAATCAAATCCAAACTCACAGCGTGGAGTTCTTTCCTACACATAATGACCCTAAAGAACAGAGTAGAATTGCCCCATATGATTTTTAAGGCTGTACATCTTTAAGGAAGCCGACCGTCACATCTTTCTCCCACTTAGAAGCTAGTGAATTCCAACCACCCAGTTTTAGATTAACAGCCAAGAGCTCAGCCACGGTGCCACCAGAGCTTCCTAATTAGGGTATGTTGTTGTTGTTGTTATGGGTGTCGAGTGGACTCCACTCATAGCGACCGTGTATGTTTCCAAGGAGCAGCTGGTGGTTTTGAATCGCAGACCTTGTAGTTCACAGTCCAGTACTGATCCTACAGCCCCAGAGCAGGAGTCCATTGGATGGCATACAGCTCACAAAATCACAGCAGTCCTCCACTGATATTGACACTGATGACAAGATAACGCCACCAAGTGTCCCTGAAACTAGAGTCCTCAGTGATTCCATCAAACATGCCGTCGCCAGAACTCACTGCCAACTCACGCACGGTGGTCGAGCTCCCAGGGGTTCGGGAAAGTTTTGACAAGCTAGCAAGTTCTGTCCAAACGTGAGGCTAACCACCACATCTGCTCCCCGTCCCCTCCCCCTTCCTGTCTTCCCCGAAGCTGACCGGGGGCTTTCTGGAGACACGCACACGGAACCGGAAAAGCGACCATTTTCCCCAAGCCCCCAGCCGGAAGTGGGGCCCGTCCCGCCGGCGCACTCACCGTGGAAGAGCAGGATGCCCAGCAGTAGAAAGAGAGCGCAGCCACGGCGTCCGGCCGCTCGGCTCTGCTGCATCCCGACAGTTTCCCAGATGCTTGCACACCTTGTTTACAGCTCCAGGTAACGACTCAGGTAGCAACGGAAGTGACGTTGGGTCGGGAGGCAGCGAGAAACCTTAAAATGGTGATCTGAAGTTGCCATAGAAACATGGCTTCTTTCCAGAACCACACCTGGGCTTGCTCACTGACCAGTGATTCTTTAATTTTCAAGTGGGAGTTAATTGCTCTCTTTTGCTTCACAACGGAGCAGGCTACAGACTTCTCGGAAATTTACAACAGCTAACTGAGGAGTGCTCCTTTTATTTTTGTGGAATTCTGCAAGATTTAATCATTTTGATCTTCTGACCCTGTTCCAGAAGTCCTTTTACCCCTACAGGTTACTGGAATGGAATGCTGTCAGAGTAAATTCTTATACATTTAGAGTTCAAAGCAACCGAGGAGATCATACCGGATCGGTCAATAGTTGAATAGATATTAGACCTAAATGACCAGTGCGTGCGTCAGCCTCTGTTCTTTTGGGTGTAGCTAGAACAACCACCTTCCTGAATTAGGTATGTATTAAATTGCTGTTGACAGTGAAAATGATGATCAAATTACTACGTTTTATTTTAGATTTGAAGGGATTAGGATGTGTGTGTGCGCTTGGGTTGGAAACGTAAGGAAGTTGTGTTAACAGAATGCTTGAAGTGAAATGGAAGATGATGGCACTTCTCAGAAAGAGGTGGGAAGGTGGTACCCAGCTCTCAACTTTAGCATATTCTCAAGGAATCTCCATATATTTAAGGAGAGCAGGAAAAAGACAAAGGTGTGCTTTAGATATAATAAACTTTTAATATTTAAACTCTCATCACTTTACTAGAGATGAAAGCTGCCAGGTTAAGATTGCTAATGTAAGAGAAGCAACTGGAAGGGTGATACTATTCTTTCAAAAGGAGTCCACAAACTTAACTACTGCTGACCTTGAGTAACATGGGAGTTAGAGATGCTATACAGCCGAAAATCCCCGTGCAACTTTTGACTCCCCCAAAACTTAATAGCCTGTTGTTTGTGTGGCGCTGTGGGTTAATGCGCCGGCCTGCAAAGCCGTTTGAACTACATGGCTGGCGGTTCAAGCTCACCAGCTGCTCCTCGGAAACCCTATACAGGATTGCTATGGGTCAGAACCGACAGCACTTAACAACAACCACCTAATCGTATAGAATTGTTTAATGTATGTTTCATGTATTATATACTGTATCCACAAGTTTTCAATATGAGATAAAAAGATATTTCACAGAAAGTGCAGTTTTCATAACTGCTGGCATAGCTGCCCTGACAGTTTCACACCTCTCCTTTTTTTTACAATGGTTTTTGTGCTGGATTCATTTATCTTGAAATGGCAGGCAACTGTAGCTGCACAACTCATATCTACAGTACTTAGCAAGCAATTCAATTTTTCTTGTAATGTTACGAATTTTCTCTGCTTAGCAAGCAATTCAATTTTTCTTGTAATGTTACAAATTTTCACTGGAAGTGCTCCCATGAAGGTAATTTGTATGGGTCTTACGGTGTTATTAAGGTTTATGGCATTACACTCAACACAATGACAAATACACTAAAACCACAAGACGTCAATTTTTAATGCTGTGTGCAGTTTACTGGTGAGACAACTGCTCATGTGAAGATGATTGGCACCACAATGTTTTTTTTTAAACCAGCATGTAAGTGGAGCAACACAATTCACACCCAGGTTCCTGAAGGGTCACTCATGGTGTTGATAAACCCAATTCCCAGCTATCCAAAGCAATGTGGAAATTCTGTAGAAATTCATGTTTATTTATGCGGTAGATACTGATTTATCCATTATTGCCTTCCAGGCAGCCTGTATTATAAAAACATCAATGAAAATAAAATACACACCCATCTGTTTTCTGTTACCTGCTATGTAAAAATTTTTAATTTGATATCAGCTAATTACACAGTTCATCATTCTTTATTACTTAAAGTTTATTTACATGAATATTGAGGCATAATAAAAAATAAATTACAATACAAAAGTGCTCTTTAGCAACAAGACACTATAAACAACAGGACCATGTTACATCTTGAGTTTTTAACCGAGACACAAGCTACAAGCTTTACTGGAAAGCTTCTACATCAGGAGTTTTAACTACTTGCTTACACTTGCAGAACATCATCTTGTTTGAATAAATATCCAGTGCCTATATTTTCAAAGGTTGAATTATAAATAAAATTATTAAATGTAGATTAAAGGAATGTAGATTTCAAATCTGAGCTAGTTTCCAAACTAGGTTTTTAAATGTTGCTTTTTATATAGTATAAAAGGTAAAATGAGAGATGCTGAATGAGTTTCAGAATCTGGGTTCATATATAAATTTTACCTCAGTTTATAAAAATAACCATTGGGAAAAACTACCAAGATTCATTATCTTTAAATACAGATCATCTATTTGATAGTGTTGGTTCCTGCAGCCCAACGAATAAAAACTGGACACATCAAGCTATAAAGACTTATCTTTTAGATGTTTTTGTACTTTGAACAAATATTGCTGTAGCCTACGTTTGGAAAAGCAGTGGGAAATGGCACTATTCTGTGCATAGCCCATTCATAAAGTTGCTTTATCTACCAGAGTAAGGGAACATAGTGGTTGTGTTGGATAAGCACTGGACTATGAACCACAGGGAAAGTGGTTTAAGCCCACTGTGGTTCCATGGAAGCAGTAGGAGTCTTTCTGCTCCTGCAAAGATTTGCAGTCTCCAAAACCCTATACGGGATTGATTTGATACAGAACCAATTTAGCAGCACTTAACAACAACAAGGGAAATAATAATAAAGTTGATTTCATTCTGTTAAAATAGTTTTGGCATTTCACACCAAATCCTCCCTTCCACAGAATAAGTGAATTAAAATAGAAAATTAAAAATGTAAATAATCTTTGTATAGTACAATATAAATTAAAATTTAAGGTTGTTGGGGTTTTTTTTATTCTTTCCACCAGCCCTAAGTTTTCAAAGTTGTAGTGTACTACTTCAGAATCCCTCTGATTTAATGACCCTAATCCACAAATGAGCATAAACTTTGTTCTTTTATTGTAGATACTTGAATTGGGAAGAAAGAAACATAGTAGGCTAATGAGTCAGCCGCTGCGTATGAGAGAACTGCTTTGTTGATTATTCCAAATAAAATAGGAAAAATTGTGACAAGTGATTCATCCAGAGGTGGTACTGGCCAGCCTAGTAGCACTTACATAGTTATTCTAGTCACTCTGGGATTTATACTCGTACTGTTATAAACTTCTAATCAGTTGACCAAAAAAGGAAAAATAATAATCATCCAGGATATTGGGGGGGGAAAATTCAGTAAAACAAGATGTACTTAGTTGTTGTTATGTGCCATGGAGTCAGTTCCGACTCATAGTGACCCTGTACCAGGTTTCTGAGGCTGTAAATCTTTACAGAGCAGAGAGCCTCATCTTTCTGCCGCGGAACAGCTGGTAGTTTCGAACTGCTGACCTTGTGGTTCACAGCCCGATTTGTAACCACTACGCTACCAGAGCATAGTACCCCCATACATTAGGATAGTCGTAAAAATCAAAATGATGTGTAACAGTTTGAATTTAGAATTTGCTGCTGTTCAACCAAAACAACATGGAGATTTCACTCACCTTTTAATTGAGAGTTTGAGAACAAAGAGTAAATATATTCACTTTAGTAGCAAGATTGCTGCTTCTAAAGAAACTACACTAATATGTGAAAGGAAATATGGCAAACAAGTTAGCTTTTGTCCTATTTGAAGTTAACGTGCGTATACAAGTCATAATCCACAAGGAGTGTTCAAGGATAAACATCTCACTTGTCAGTTTACAAAAGCTGATGAACATTTTAAAAATATTTGAACTCTGAAATAAAATCTTAATAATGAGGCTGTTGGGTGAGTCTGGTGGTATACACTCAAGAAGGACCCTCTACTGGCTTCAGAAAAATGTTGCTTTTCTAGTTGGGAATGTACTGCAGAGCTGGTTGGAAGACAGGTCACAACTGGAAAAGCCAAAGAAACGCTTCTATTAACTTCAACTTAAAGTTCTTGTATATCTTCAGCTTCCTAAAATATAAAACAAAAGTTTAAATGGATAATTCATCTGGTAAGAGTGCAATAGGAGTACTTGGCATTATGAATTACAAATATATTTTTGTTAGATCTATTCTCTATTCTGAAGAGAAGGAAAATACTCTTGATCTTATTTGTTCTCCCCTTAATATAATTTTTACAAGAAATTTCCTGGTCCTCATTCCATAGTTCTCAGTCAGTGTCTTTAATTAATAGCCTCTAAGTGCCATGTGAAGTCCCTGGGTGCAAACAGTTAAAGCACTTGACTACTAATGAAAGACTAGCTGTTCCAGTTCACCCAGAGATGCCGCAGAACTAAGTCCTGGTTACGTGCTTCCAAAAAAATCAGCAATTCAAGACCCTCTTTGCCTATGTTACCCTAAACACACCCGATCTTGTCTGAAGACCTCGTAGAGCACAGTTTTACTCGGACACACATGCAGTCACTATAAATCAGTACTAACACCAGGGCAAGTGGCTATTGAGTGCCTTGAACAGACACTTAGATCTCTCTCTCTCTCTCCCCCTCTCTCTTTCTATGTATATTCAGATACACAAAAAAGTAGAGAATTCACCCAAACCTAATTTTAAAGCATTGTTTTGTGTGCTTTTTGTTTGTTTTGCTGAAGCTTATAAAGCAGATTACAGATAGTCTGACATTTCACCCATAAGTACTCCAGCATGCATTTAAAAAAAAAAAGGAAATTTCCTTTATAACTGCAATACCATTATTGTACCCAATAAAAACAACAATCATTTACTAATATCACCCCTATTCATAATTTCCCCAAATTTTCTCTACAGCTGATTTGCTTACATTAGTATCTATTCTGTTAGGGGTTATATACTGAACTTGATTGTGTTAGTTTCGTAAATTTCTTTTAATCTAAAATAGCCCCATCTTTATTTTCCATAACATTGACTTGTTAGAAAATCCACTTAATTTTAAAAGACAATTGTTGTTAAGTACCGGCGAGACAGTTCTGACTCATTGCAACCCTGTATATGGTTTCCAAGGAGTGGCTGGTGAACTTGAACCACCGACTTTGCAGTTAAAACTGACCTTGTCCCTGGATAAAAACTACCTTATGCCAAATTTGGTTTTATGGCTTTACAATAGAATCATTTTTCTCCATATTCTATTTTAAAAATCCTTGAGATCTTTCTGTTAAGCTTTAACCCTACAAAGTGTGACTCTTTATAAATAAACAATACAACCTTCTTTGCAAATAAAAGTAATAACAGTCTGTAATAATTTCCTTCCACTTAGGAAAGTCAGACAGTTGTAAGATAAGCACTGGACCACAAGGTCACAAGGTTCCCTATATGGGAACACTATGAGTCAGAACTGACTTAACAGCACTTAGAAGCAACAGCAACCGTGTAAAGAATGAGTATAAAATTCAAGTTTTATATGTACTTATAAGTATAAAATTTGCATGGAGCATCTTCAAGGAATAGAGAAATTCTGTGCATATGAAAAATAATCCTGCCTTTTACACCTGAGAACTCGAAAACCAGAATCACACACTACTAAACTAAACTCACAGTTCCAACAACTAAATGACAGGAAGAGTTGAAATCAACTCCAAATAGTACAAATGTTCTATCAAAGTGTTGGGTGAATCCATTGAGTCGTTCTCAGTGCCGTGATTAGTTTGCAGTAGAATAAACAAACAGATAGTAATCTTTTCATGAAGAAGCCCTGGTAGCGCTATAGGGTAAGCACTGGACTGCTAATCACAAGGAAGCAGTTCAAATCCACCATCAACTCCATGGGAGAAAAATAAGGCCATCTGCTCCCGTAAAGATTTATATATTCAAAACCTGTATACAGTCGCTATGAGTTAGAATCGATATGACAGTAAGGCATTCATTAAAACTTAAAAAAAAAAAAAAAAAAAAAATGTCTACATGTTGAAAGTTAACTTATTGCTAATGAAGGCAAATACAACATAAAGACCTCAAATAGCATTAGAATTCTCCCACTTTCATTGGCAGCTAGCTTCCTAATCCTTCACACAAAATACATTCAAAGGGGAGTCATTAATAGATTTAAACACTTTTATCTCCCTGCCCTACTGCCTCTGATTTCATATAAGAACCACAATAGCAACCATATAATTTGGGAGAGTCTCAGAGATAAGTCGGTCAGGTCAGAAAGCTGAGAGAAGAAAACAACCCATCTGTGAGCCTTACCATCTAAAAAGTTAATCAGTTTCTTCAAAATAAACAGAGACTTTTTTTTCTTGATTGAGCTTTTCATCTTCCTTTCTGTACCAAAGAAGCAGAAAACAAATGTCATGTGAGGACAAGGAAACAGAAGAAGCAAATCCTACAGAAGCTTCAGGTAAGGTGTTTTCGCCCACATTTTGGGAAGGATTCCATGTACCTGGAAGTAGATCCAAACTTTGAAAAAGCTAAACCACTAGGGCCATCTAATTAGTAATACTCATGCCTCAACATGACTCTTGCCATCTGAGCTTAGCTATTTTTCAGAATGTGAGGGAATATAATTTTGGAATTCCAGAGATTTAGAGCAGACGCCTGAGTTTACCATTAGTATCTACCTAGATGTTAGTTATAATTGATTATATGAACTTCTATTCAAACCAGAACCTCAGAATTGAGTGATAGGCTCCTTAGAATCAATTCTACTAACTTCAGTAAATATTGAGGGAAAGAGACAAATGGTGTTGGAACAGCTGGATATCTATATGAAAAAGAGTGAAGATGGACTGACTCCTGCTTCACTCACAACAACCCTATATAGGCTTCCCAGTTCAAACTGACCTTGCAGTCCAGTGCTTTATCCCATAGCACCACACCAGGACTCCACATAGTAGGTAAATACAAAAATTAACTCAGAATCTTTCAAAGGCCTAATATAAATGCTAAAGCTACAAGACACTTAGAACACATAGGCTTAAATTGTCGTGACCTTGGACTAGGCAATGGTTTCTTAGCTATGACATCAATAGCACAAGTAGCAAAAGAAAAAATAAATTGGACTTCCTCAAATTTTATAATTTGTTCTTTAAAGTACACTTTGAAGAAAGTAAAAAATCCACAGAATGGGAGAAAATAATCATATATGTATATCTGGTAAAAGACTTGTTGAGTGGTGCCGTCGAGTCAGTTCTGACTCATAATGACCCTGTATAGGGTTTCCAAGGAGCCACTGGTGAGCTTGAACCACCAACCTTGCAGTTCAAACAGCTTTGCAGTCTGGCGCATTAACATACAATGCCACACCAGGACTCCGAAACAGGATTAGTATCCAAAATATCTAAAGAACTCTTAAAACTCAACAAATAATCCATTTAAAAGATGTGAGTAGTTTATGTCTCCAAATAAAATATATAAATAAGCACAAGGAAAGATTTTCATACTCACTAATCATTAGGAAAATGTAAATTAAAACTTCAGTGAGATACCATTTCCCAATGGATGGCTTTTGATATTCAACAAAAAGATTGACAGCAACAAATGTTGGCGAGGCTGTGGAGAAATTAGAACTTTATTGCATTACTGATGGGAATGTAAAATAATGCAATTGTTTTGGATAATAGCCTGGTATTTCCACAAAAAAAATTAGCCATACTATTATCAAATGATCCACCAATCCCAATCCTAGATATAAATATCCTCCAGAGAATTCAAAACATATGTTCACACAAAAACAAACACAAATGTTCACATCAGCATTATGCATAATAGCCAAATATTGAGGAGGGGGTCTATCAATGGATAAACACTAAGTTTATCAAGCCACAAAAAGGAATGAAGTTCCGGTACGTGTTATAACCTGGATGGGCATTGAAAACATTTTGCTAAGTGAAAAAGTTGTTGTTGTTAAGTGCCATCGAGTCGGGTCCGACCCATAGCGACCCTGTACAGGGTTTCCGAGGGTGTAAATCTTTACGGGAGTAGAAAGCCTCATCTTTCTCCCGCGGAGCGGCTGGTAGTTTCGAACCGCTGACCTTAAGGTTCGCAGCCCGATTCGTAACTAGTCAGCCACAAAAGGTCATGCACAGATTGTATGATCCTAGAATTTATATGAAATGCTCAGAAAAGGCAAATAGAGACAGAAAGTAGACTGGTTTTTGCCAGAGTATATGGGGTTTCCTCTGGGGGTAATGAAAATGTTCTTGAATTAGTGGTGATAGTCACACAATGTTGTGACTATCAAAGGGTCAATTTTGTGGTATATAAATTTTATCTCAAAATATTGGGCACATATAGGAGTCCTGGTGTGGTGCTGTGGGCTGATGTGTGAGACTGCAAAGTCGTTTGAGCTGCAAGGTCAGTGGTTCAAGCTTACCAGCGGCTCCTTGGAAACCCTACACAGGGTCACTATGGGTCAGAATTGATTGGACGGCACTTAACAACATTGGAGTCCTAGTGTGGTGCTGTGGGTTAATGCACCAGACTGCAAAGCCATTTGAACTGCAAGGTCAGTGGTTCAAGCTCACCAGCTGCTCCTCAAAAACCCTATACAGGGTCACTGTGGGTTGGAATTGACTCAACGGCACTTCACAACAACAACAATCGTCAGTATGGCTGACTTTCATCAACACTGATATCATAGTACCCTGCTGACTGCCTAGACCAATGATGTTTCACTTTTTAAAAGTAAGTTTTTACATAAAGCAGATTTTTATAAAAGTAAATCCACATAGTAAGAAATCCTATAATGGAGTTTTTTGTAAAATGAAGAGAGAGACCTTTCATATAAATTTTCTAACTCACGTTTCTGTTTATCTTCCCTGTCATGTGAATTTGAACTTTTTTGTATAGGATTTACTCAAAGAGAAGAACATCTGTTCAACAATTATTTAGCCCCAATAAAATGCTAAAAGTCACCATGAAGGATGTTAGAATACTTTCTCAGAACCGCCCAGTCTTACAATTTTATCTCCACCACTTTATGAGCTCTGTCAGCCCATCGTTTTTTCCGGAAGTGCTGGAAGAGGACCACCACAATTACAATTATGACCATCAGTGCACAGGCGGAGCCAATGGCCAGAGTCAGGAAGTAGATCTCAGAGAAGTGTACTGTAAAGAGACAAGAGCAAGTTAGGATTCTAAAAAGAAAAGGACTTTGATGTATCACCAGAAATCCTGGTGGTTCAATGGTTAAGCACTTGAGTACAAAATGATAGCTTGAACCCACTGGCTGCTCTGTGGAACAAAAGACCTAGCACTGTGCTATGAAGATTATAACCTAGGAAACAGCATGGTGGGTCACAATAGCCTAATCCATTGTTCTGGGAGCCGCCAAGATTTGGAGACCATTTGATAGCTGCTAACAAGGAGCTCTGGTAGCGTAGTGGTTACGAATTGGGCTGCGAACCGGAAGGTCAGCAGTTCGAAACTACCAGCTGCTCCGCAGGAGAAAGATGAGGCAATCTGCTCCTGTAAAGATTTACAGCCTCAGAAACCCTATTCAGGGTCGCTGTGGGTCAAAACCGACTCAACAGCACTTAACAACAACAACAATAAAATGATGAAATCTAAAGGTAGAGCCCTGGTGTGACGCTGTAGGATAAGCACTGTGCTACTAACTGCAAACACACCAGCCACTCCTTGGAAACACTATAGAGTCACTATGAGTTGTAACTGACTCAGTGGCATTAACAACAACAATAAAGATATAGTAGAGGTGTATTTCTCTCTCCTACTTTTATATATAAAATGTCATGTTGGTATTGTGTGCCAGGGGGTTGATTTTGACTCATAGCAACTCAATAGTCCAAGTAAAACAGCCCTATGGGTTTCCTAGGAGTCCTGGTGTGGTGCTGTGGGATAAAGCACTGGACTGCAAGGTCAGTTTGAACCACAGGTCGGCAGTTCAAATGTACCAGCCACTCCTTGAAACCCTACACAGGGTTGCTATGAGTCGGAACCGACTTGACAGTATTTAACAACAATCTTTATAGGAGCAGATCATCAAGTCTTTTCTCTCGTGGAGCCGCTGGGTGGGTCCAACTCGCTGGCCTTTTAGTTAGCAGCCGAGAGCTTAAATCACTGAGCCACCAGGGATCCTTACAAACTAGTGGTTCTCAACATATGATGCCAGGAGTAGCAATAACAGGACCATCTGACGACTAAAATGCAAATTCTTGTGCCCTACCCTGGAGTCCTGGTGTGGCGCTGTGAGTTAACTCACCAGGCTGCAAAGCCGTTTGAACTGCGAAGTCAGCGGTTCAAGCTCACCAGCTGCTGCTCGGAAACCCTATATAGGGTCACTATGGGTCGGAACTGACTTGACAGCACTTAACAACAACCCTAGACCTACTAAATCGGCAACATAGTGTGGGACCCAGCAATCCTTATTTTAACATGTTCTTCAGATGACTGTGATGACACTAAAGCTAGAGAACCATTGCACAGGTTGAACTACCTAATACAGGAAGATTATTACTCAACCCTATTCTCACTTACTCCCTCTTAACCTGTCGTTTAGTTAGTCAATCATTTACTCAAACTTAGTAAGATTCTATACACTGTGAGAACTACAAAGCCAAAAAAGACATTGTCCTCAAGGAGTTTACTGGGACTATATGCAAGGAAGTCAGTAACTACTGTCTAGAGGGTAAGTGATGGAAAAGGGAACCCAGAGAAGGGCCCCTAAACCAAACCAGAGTCTTTAAAGCCTGGTTCTCCTACTCTGTAGCTTGATTTTTGATTATACTTCATTTAATCCTCAGAATCAGAAAAGATGTTAAAGACTGTAACTCAGGATTTCCCAGCCTGGAGTCCACAAGCCCACAAAATGTATATCAAACTGCATGTATACATTGTGGGAATAAAGGACTTGGTTTTTGTTAGATTCTCAGAGAAGTGACCCCTATATAGTTAAAAAACATTTTTTGTTGTTGTTTAATCTATTCATTTTTCAGGTGAAGAAACTGAGGTCCAAAGGTATTACATTAATGTTTTTTGCATATAGGGTGCCTGTGTAACTAATGTACACACACATGGAGCATGTATTGTGCGCATAGGAAACTAATGCATTGGGGGCGGGGGGGGGGTTGAAAATACAGTATTTCTCTCCAAAGTTACATAGCACTCCATTGGTAGGGCCCTGTGGGGGATGGTTTTTAACTGTACTGGGAATGAAAGGAGGAAATCATACCACTTCACAGGTTTATACAAGGGGCCTTCAAAAAGTTCACAGAAAAATTCCATTATCTTTTAATTCCACTTTTCTGTGAGCTTTTTGAAGCCTCCTTGAACCTTTAGGGTTGTATGTTGGCTTAGAGCACACAACATAGAAAGCTAGGCTGAAAAATAAAAATTTTTAACCTCATCTAGAAAACAAAGGTAACAGTATTTCTTTGGATTCGCATAAGGAATAAAAGAAGTCATTCATGTAAATTGTTCCAGACTATGCCTGCACATTGTTGCTAAGTACCATTGAGTTGGTTCCAACCCATAGCAACCCTGTATAGGATTTCCAAGAAGCATCTGGTGAGCTTGAACCACCAACCTTGCGTTTCACACTGACTTTGCAGTCCAGTGCATTAACCCACAGCACCACACTAGAACTCCATGCCTGCACATAATAGACAATATACTGTGGGATCATGCACTGGATGGCAAAGTCGGTGTGTTCACCACAAGGGCAGCAGTTCAAACTCACCAGCTGTACCTCGGATACCCTATACAGGGTCACTGTGAGTTGAACTGACTTGAAGACATTTAACAACAATATTCTCGCCTTCCAGGAAAGAGAATTCCGGGCCAATGCACCTCAAATCAGCCACCACTTGTGTCATGTTACTGTGATGCTAAGTAGGTTTCCGTGGTGATTCCAGACTGAGGGGCTAAGATGAAAGGTCTAGCAACCTAATGATGAAAACCAGCCAGTGAAAACTACAGATCACACTGGTCCACCTGGGCATGGGCTCACCAATCAGGAGTTGACTTGATGGCTGCTAACAACATGATTATTAGTCAAAATCAGAGTTAACAAATTTTTTACAATCTCTCATTTTATCCTCACCATAGTCTCATAATACTGTTATTCTCATTTTATAGATGAGAAAAGTAGATTTATTCACAGCTGGAAGATGACAGCAGTGACTTAAACCCAGCCAGATAGACTCCTCTTAGGTTATGTGCTTTTCCAAATTGTCCTTTACAGGAATGCAAACAATACAATGAGTTTGACCTTAAGTGACAACATTTATAAGTAATTTAACTTCTCTGAGGCTCGGTTCCTCGTTAGTAAAATGAGGGTGCTAAGAGTACAGTAAATTGGTGAGACAGGTAAAGATGAAGATGTTTCATGCAAAATCTCTGCTCATGGGAAATGTGGGAGAAAGATAAGCCTTTCTGCTTTGGTAAAGATTTACAGCCTATGAAACCCTATTCAGGGTCACTATTGAGTCAGAACAGATAGACTAGCCGGCAAGTTGGTTCTGACTCATAGTGATGCTGTATAGGGATTCCAAGGAGCAGCTGGTGGGTTTGACCTTCCAACCTTGTGGTTCACAGTACGGTGCTGATCCTACAGCACCACACATTAGCTGCCATGTGGTTGTGAGGATTAAATGAGATAGCACATGTCAAGCACTTTACAGTGCCCAGCACAGGATAGGTTCTCAATAAGTATCTTCGGAAGAAATGAATGAATGAATGAATGGCCCTGTTGTTCGCCTTTAATCTGAGAGGTGCTTCCTTTCCCTTTCACATTCACAGTGCCATTTTTGTAACATATTCCCTGGGTCCCTTTACTTCAATTTCTGTTTCATTCCACAACCAAAGCAAGCCTTTTTTTTTTTTTTTCTTCAGGACTCTTCAGTCTCCCTCTGAAGTTCCTAGCTCCAAAGGGCTTAGACTTTTCTGTACTCTTCAGCCATCACAAAAGATTGCCTCTCTCTTGCAACCTCTCACACTTTCCAAAACCACTTTTCCCCTGTATAACCTACCAGTCTGTACAACACTGAGCCGGATCTCCCCTATTATCCCATCAACATCAGGTGGGTTCTTCACGTGGCAGGTGTATGTCCCATTGTCATCAAACTGCAGTTTCCAGAGGATTATGGAGACGTCATACCGCTCAGGGTTCCCATCCCAGACCACCCGGTCCTTGAACCGTCCACTCTTGGGCATGAAGGGCTCTTCGTGGTAGTAGAATACCTAGAAAGGAGAAATGGTAGATTTTTCATATCCGGTACCTGGGCAAGGAAGCTGAAGTGATTGAAGCAGAAAAGAATCATCAACAAGCCAAACTGTCCTATCTGCAGATTCAAGGACCTCTTTCCCCTTCATTTACCTCTCAGTTCTTTCAGCTTGTGCCCCAAGAATTGTTTCCCAGTTTTACCTTGTGTATGTTGGTAAAAAAAATGAAAGGGCAAGGAGAAATGGCCAGACTTATTTTCTTAATCAAAGGTCTCCCAGGACAATGAAGATAACCTACTTACAAATTGCTCTGGCCCCCCATCTCGAGGACGGAAATTCCAGGTCACTGTTAGAGCACCACCCACAGGGGCAAAGCTGGAGAAAGTGCATTTTAATCGAACATCAGTCCCGTTAACAGCCTCCAGCACTCGGGAGGTGTAAATTTCCACAGCTGCTATAGGCCAAAGAGCTGCAATGAAGGAAAAAAGGGTTAGTACGAGATGGAATGTTGAGACAACTGCCCAGTCTTCTACTGACACTTCCAGATAAAGCCTGAGTAAAACAAAGCAGAATTGAGTTGTCCCAGCTCTCAAAACTTCACCCCAAGTCTGCATACTTTTTATCTTTATGCACCCCTGACACTCATCCTATGGAATAACTAAAAATACCCACATCAAGCCAGTACTCTCACTTTCTTCACAGCATGATACCTGGTCCCATGGTACCCACTTCAAAACTATTGTACCAAACTACAAAGATTGATGAACAAAATTGAAAGCAGAAACAAAAAAAATTCCAATTTCGATTAAGCATTGCATTGTGTGTTAAAATACTCTATTGTGTGTATGCCTGTCAACTGGCAGAAAGAGTTTTGTCGTGTGGATTTCATACTGTTGCTAATCTTCTGCAGAAATGGAATTAATTAGCCTCCAGCACCACTGGACCCTTTATACCGTGGGATACTTTTTACCATGATATTTATGTTCAGAATGTGCCTCGGAGCAGTTTCAAAACCACATTGTATCTGTCAACAATCTCAGCTTTCTCCGTGCCACAGAAAGTCCCGGACTAGATCCACACACAGAGAGATCCAAGTGCCAAATGCTGCCTGCAGTGGGAGGTTGTGAGCTACCATACACACACAAACTAGTGTGTAACCCGAGATTAGAAAGCCTTCTGTGTGCCTGAATCACTGGCAACCCAAACACACCTAAACCTGTTTGTCCAAAAGCAGTTACCCAAAAACAACTCCCCAACTTCAGTTTCAGCAATGTCAAAACTAAAATGAATCGCAACAGTGGCTCACTCAGGCTCTCAAAACCACATCAGCTAACTTTGTAGGGTAGGCGACACAGGAGGAAATACTTAGAGAAGATCCTTACCTGTGAGCTGTAAACCAAGGAGAAGAAGCACAGCCCGAATAAGTTTTTTGCCATACATGAGGGAAACCCCGCCCTGGCCCCGGAGACCAGACCGGGCAGACCAAGGGCTCCAACACCCTGCCAACGCCACTCCGGGAAGAACGAGCTCCACGTTTTTCTGGAGAGAAAAATCTGTCCCTTCACCTATGAGAATCTGAGCGCCTGCGCCTGTGACTCATCCCTGCTTTGCCTGTGCACTTGTTGAAATGAAAGGTGGGGCCTCAGCTTCTAACGCCCTCATTCCTCCTCCCCTCCCACCCTTCTCCACTACCAAGCACGTCTGCACAGAGGTCCAAATCTCAGCCGCCCTCTCTTTTCGGTTAATCTGCCAGGGTTTTGGCCTCTGGATGGCCGCGGAAACAGCCAAAGGAGGTGGTGCCAGTCTGAAATGTCCCAGCCTGCTGTGGGTTTGGCCCACACACACCCTGTTTTAAAAAAAGTTTTAGGCTTGTCTGGAAAGTGAATGTTGAAACCTCCAATGTTGAGACTCTTCTTCCCAAACCAACTCCACTTGTAGCCAACAACTGGGTTCACTACAATGCTGAGACAAGAAGTGAAATTCCTTGGACCCCTCTGTAAACAAACAATCCTATAATTTATACCCTTAATTTTAGTCAGATGTTACCACAAGAATTTCCTCACTTTTCTAGCTTGTAGATTTCCCTGGGGCAGAGCGGTGAAACACACTGACCAAAACAAATCTGCACTTAACAATCCTTTGCCTTTGAAGGATTTCAAGAAAAAACAGGGCACCATCCCTGCTCATTTCTCCTTATCATCATGATACAGTCTGCAAAGTGATTTCTTGCTTATTATTTCTCCTCCACAAAACCCTCTGAAATGTTCCCACATATCAGTGAGGATCTTAACAACTTGGGGGAAGTTACATGACTTTGCCCAAGATTACACAGTCAATAAGTAGCAAAACTGGAACTTTTCTGACCCATAAATCAAGTGCCCTTTCCACAAAAATGACAACTAACACAGATTTCAGACAGAGGATTACCATAGAAAAAGGTTTTCACAATAGCATTTTTGCACCTCAGATTTCATCTACCACTTTTAGGACAGCAGTCTAAGAAGTGGAAAGAGTTAAGGAACTGAAGTGAGAAAGGGTGCCTCCTTGTCTGCAGGAGGATGGGGAAATTGTTACAGATTCACAGAGCAACAGTAAAGCAGCAGTGCCAGGGGATGAAGATCACACAATTAAGAAGTAGGCCTGAACCCTTCACAGAAAGAAATTGTCTTTATCCCTAGATTGTTGTTGTTAAGTGCTGTCGAGTTGGTTCTGACCCATAACCACCCTGTATAGTGTTTCCAAGGAGCAGCTGGTGAGCTTGAACCACCGACCTTGCAGTTCAAACAGCTTTGCAGTCTGGCACATTCACCCACAGCGCGGCACCAGGACTCCTATCCCTAGATTACCAGTCTTGAAACTTTTTAGTGATTCATTCAACCCTGGGACAGAGATGATTGCCAGAAAGGAGCAGATTGACTAGAAAAAAAGAATGCATCAGGCTATCAGGACTGACATGATGGTTGGAAATGTAAACGTAGATGTTTTATAGCAAAAGTAGGGGAGTAATTGACTTTGCAGTCTAGGAGCAGAGGTCCCTGGGACCATCAAAGGAGAAGAATGGAGAGCAGGACCCCACCCAGAGAAACAATGATGCCAGAGATGGAGGCAGAGACGTTGATGTGGAGCGATGGAGCCTCTGGGGACTCTGGACCCAGAGAGGGAGAGGGGCTGTGGTGCTGATGACCAGGGTGCAGGCTTGCGGGGTATACCCTTTGGTTGTTTGATGATGCATGGAGGGGATTGTAATCAAGGCAATAAAACGATATTTGATAGGATGAATGTAAAGCTAATGTTCTTCCATGTAAACTATCCCATAATTCACACTAAAACATTAAAAAAAAAAAAAAAAAAGAATGCTTCAGAAAGAAGGAAGAAAAGAGACGGGCACATTCCAGAGGTAAAGGCAAAGAAAAACAAAAGAGAAGAGAATGGCAGCTGGAGAAAGATGGCTTGGGTGTGGTAACAATAGCGGAAAGATGCATGAAGTCACCCCAAATGAAGGTTGGCTGTGTCCTTAAAACCCACTGACATTGAGTTGATTCCAATACAACAACCTTGTATAGAGTTTCCGAGACAAAATCTTTACAGGAGCAGACAACCTTATCTTTCTCCCACGGAGCAGCTAATGGGTTAGAATCAACGACCTTGTGGTTAGCAGTCCAGTGCTTATCCCACAGTGCCACCAAGGTCCTTAGTGCTGCTGGTGCCATTGAGTCAGTTCCAACTCATAGCAACCCTGCAAAGGATTTTCAAGGAGCAGCTGGTGGGTTTGAACTGCCAACCTCGTGTTTCCAATTCATAGCGACCCTGTATAGGGTTTCCGAGGAGCAACTGGTGGTTTTGAACTATCTACCTTGTGGTTTGCAGGTCAGTGCTGATCCTACAGTGCCACACCAGAACTCCTTAGCGGGCATGTATTATTATGAATTGTGTTTCTGAAAAGAGACGGTTTTGTTACTTCATCAGAAATCAGCCTAAAATCAGAAGACTGAGAAAGTTTAAAGTAATGCTAGGGGTAAGATACAGAGTTTCTGGTATGTAGGTCAGAAGAGTTCAGCTCCAGGAGCCTGAAAGAAAAGAAGTTAAGGAAACTAGATCTTTTTTGTTGGCTTTCAACTTTGCAGAGAAATGGAGCACTCGAGCAGGAGAGGTAGAACCTGGGGTTTTTGAAGTCTACGGCAAAGCAAAATTTGGTGAGAGGTAGAGAGAGCTACCAAAGAGCTCAAGGATGCCGTGAAAGCAGCAGGAGAGGAATCAGGGCAGGAAGAACTGAACAGACTGCCTGTTGTCAGGACCAGCAGAATCTCTTCCCTAGGTAGCTAGGCGCCCTGGGAGCTGGCTATCAGCCCTGCTCCGAGGGTCAGCAACTGCCAGATCCCATTCCTCAGCAGAGTTCAAGTTCCTGGCTTTGTTCCCAACAACGCCCAATTCCAGTTAGCGGGAGTGGCTCTGGAGTCTCCCAGCACCCCTCCCTGAGGGAGGAAAGAGGAGACCAAGGTTGAAGATGGTAGGAGAAAACATGAAATATAAAGGATGTTTGCCCCTTTAAGAGTGCCCAGGAAGCCAGGCAGCAGGACTTTGATCAAAGCTGGAGTTATCTAGGTAAGGCAAAAGTCACAGTTTGTCTAGACAAATCAGTTAATAAAGAGGAATTCTGGAGAGTAAAAGGAAAAAGAGTGAAGTTTTCTGAGACACCACTTTTCTCCTTTACTTTCACAGAGAAAATATCCGATTGCCATTAAATTTCTGTCATATCAAAAGTTTTTAAAGTACCTATCTCTCCTAATTCTCCACACATGCCCCCAAAATGTTTCTAATAGCTATCTAGACCTCGTTGTTGTTGTTAAGTGGCATTGAGTAGGTTCTGACGCTTGTTGTTGTTAGGTGCCATCAAGTCAGTACTGACTCATAGCAACTCTATACACGACAATGAAACACTGCCTGGTCCTGCGCCAACCTTACAATCATTGCTACATTTGAGTCCATTGCTGCCTGTTGTCAGAACTCAGACTCTGCTGGTGGTGGTGGTTATGTACCATGGAGTCAATTCTGACTCATAGAGACCCTATATAGTGTTTCTGAGGCTGTACATCTTTACAGGAGCAGAAAACCTTTTCTTTTTCCCTCAGAACCACTGGTAGTTTCGAACTGCTGACCTTGAGGTTAGCAGCCTGACTAGTAACCACTATGCTACCAGAGCTCCTTCAGACTTCGCTAGGGTTACATATTTTGTTATTGTGTGTACCATTGAGTCGGTTCTGACTCATAGCGACTCAGTATAGGGTTCCCCAGAAGTGGCTGATGAGTTTGAACCACTAACCTTGCCATTCAAACCTACCTTGTGGTCCAGTGCTTATCCCACAACACACACCAGGAGTCCATAACCTACTGCCACGGAATCAATTCTGACTCTAGGACAGAGTAGAACTTTATGGGAGCCGACAGCTCCTCTTTCTCCCAGGGAGCAGCTGGTAGGTTTGAACTGCCAGCCTTGTGGATAGCATTTTGACTCTAGGAAACTCAGCAGAAGCTCAGAAAATGCCAGGGATACTGACCTATATATAAGTATTTGTAAAAAGTTGCCTTTCTCAACATCCTAGTCAAGGAAGGGAAAGGAGCACTTTTGGGAGATTTTCCACTAAAGATGAAATCATTCTTTGAAGCAAAGAAAACAATTTAGTTGTTAGGGTGTTCAAATAACACATTTGTTTACTCAAAAGTTTCTTTTGTCCCATTTGTTTTCTTACTCTAGGAAATGTTTATTAAATACTTGCTATATGCTGAGCTAGACATGCAAAGTAGACTAAGATGTTTCTAGCTGGGGTGAAATCATGGTCTAAAGAGGATGGGAAACTGAAGTGTGTATATAAACAAACAAACAAAAAAATTGTCCATACTTGTGATATTTGAATTGATTCTTTAAAGGAGAAGTAGGAATTCTGGAAAGAGAGGAGAGAAAAGTAGTCCAAGGGGGGGGGGGGTAAATAGGTGGGGAGCAGTATCCCCAGGAACCAGCAAGCAGTTCCTCAAGCATAGAGCAGAGGGAAGAATGGCAGGCCAGGAGACAGAAAAAGAGAAGGAGCCCAGACGCTAGGGTTCTCATTCACCATCAAGGAAGTGTGCTCTTGATCCTGACACATATATCAAGTGGAGGTAGTTAGTGTGTAACATGAAGTCCTGGTGTGGCGCCGTGGGTTAATGAGCTGGACTGCAAAATCGGTTTGAACTGCAAGGTAGGCAGTTCAAGCTCACCAGCTGCTCCTAAGTAACCCTATGCAGGATCGCTGTGGGTCGGAACCAACTCGATGGCACTTAACAACAACAACAGTCCATAAACTTGGAGTCCTAGTGTGGCACTGCAGGATAAAGCATTGGACCACAAGATCGACTTGAACTGCAAGGTCAGCAATTTTAAACTCACCAGCTGCTCCTTGGAAATTCTATACAGGGTCACTATGAGTCAGAACCAACTCAACAGCACTTAACAACAACAAACTCTAATGAGTTTTGAAAACCCTGGGAGGGAACACTCTCCTACCTCC